TCTCAGCTCACCTTGTTCACCAAGGAGGAGAAGGCAAGAGGAGTGGATGAGAGAGCTTGCAGTTGAGCTGCCTTTTATACTGGTGCAGATGCCCCAGGCTCAGAGACGCTGCTTCTGCATATGATGTGTTTACCAACACGCTCATCTTGCATGCAAAACGTCCCAATTAAGGAAATGGGGATGCCTTTTTTTGTTCCCTGCAACATTGCCTTTTCATTTCCGTGCTCAGGACATGCTCATTCTACCACTCAGCTCCTTTCAAGTGTCTGTATTAGAGGCCCACAAGTTTCCTGGGGATATTCCACGTCATGGCAGGGACACAGATCAGGCAGAGTAGTGCAACCTCCTGAGCTGATGTCAGCATCTTCCCCTCCAAGGGTAGGCTTCAAACTTTGTCCTAATGGATGCAGTTTGCTCTTCTCCAGACCTATGATAAAAGACCAGACATTCCTTTTGCCAGGAGAGGCCACATCCTTAATTCTCTGTGCTTCCAAGCTCTTTCATGTTGTCTTGGACGTCTTTTCACTTGGGCAGACTATTCTGACGTGCTTTTAGGCTCTCTTTGGCATCTACCTCGCCTGCAGGAGACTTTGCAGGACGAGTTTTGTGTTGTCACATCTCTCAGAATTTCCTAAATGCTTGTTCTGTCTCCTGAACAAGCCCTCCCTATAGATGCATGTTCTTCTCCCATATCACAGTGTAACACAGTATTAGTTACCCACTCCTCAACCTTGCAGACACCTCAGGGTACTCTAAAGGGTGCTTTGTGTCTTCACAGCTCTTGCTTCCTACCCATATGCTGCTGGACAATAGTTCTTGGGCTCTACATACAGCTTTCACAGACAACTCTTGAAATGCTTGGAGATGTTTCCCTATAATTCCCCAACCTCTGCTGAAGGAAAAATCATCCTACATACTAGGGAATATTTTCCTTCTCACAGAAAGCAGCATTCTAAGTCTTCAAGATAACCGAGCAAATCAGTATTGTTTGAGGGCATTTTCCCTCACACCCAAGAGCAAAGCAGAACAGAGCCAGCAAGGAAACAATTTCCTACAGGTGCTCAGTAGCTCCCCAGGCAGGCACCACCTCCCCTCCAAAACAGACATTCTGCCCAAAGACTCCACTGTCCTGCAACACTCTGCTTGGCATGCGCTTGAAATGCCAATTCCTCCTCCTTGTGAGAACTTCTTCAAGTGTCTTGCCTCGGGTGTGGATACAGGGAGGTTAAGGGGCATTGATGGGATATGGCAGGGCTGGAGAAAGATCTCAAAGGGTTACATCTGCCTTGGAT